GATTTCGGAACATAGGAAGAACATAGCACTTACATTCCCGATTTTGGGAACATTCGAAATGTTAGCCCGAACAAAGGAATACCATTCCCTATGTTACGAGCTCCGACTTGGAGCCGTAAAATTATACACGCCCTTACAATGTAAGTACCATGTGAGCGCTTCGCACAACGTGGTTCGTCCGCAGTGTCAGAGAGCCACGGAAGAAGGGTTCTGTCGGCGCAGGGTCCACATCTGTACGACCCTCTGTCTCGGGGCATTCGTCTGGCCACCCGTTCTTGTTCAGAAAATCAGAAATGAATCAGAATGCTGATACTGGTGAGAAGGAGGCTGCTGGATATGCAAGCTCCGGTGCCACCGTATCACCTGCATTCGGGGCGAGGTCTTGAAGAGACTCGCTATGGACGCGGGTCGAGAACGAGGGCCCCGGATGCGGTGCACGGGACTGCGGAGACGGTGGAAGAGGTGCGGCGCCTTGCGCACCTGCGTAGGGGCACAGCATGGGCTGTACGATAGGTCGCACGAGGACTCGAGGGTGCGCTGCGGTGGCGGCAGATGGCCACGGCCACGGCTGGGACAGGCACACCGCCCTGGGAGCATGCGAGGAGCGCGTGCCAAGCAGGTGGCGAGGCGGCTGTGGAGACCATGACCAGCAATCCGGTTGACGTAATCCTTTCCCTTTCCGGCAACTCCTCCATGGACGTCATGATCGCTGCGCTCCATAAAACTCTGCCAGCCGCATCCTCCGCTCATCCCCCTTCCTTCGCGCCAACCTCATCCACGACAACCAAGTCAGTTTCTTCTACACGCGTCTCGCGCCGTACTGACCCACATTTCAGACCTTCACGACCCTTCTTCACGACCCTCTAACGACTAGCCATGGCTGCCGACGCCGCGATCCCAGGCCTTGTCCTCACCTTCGCAGCGATGGTGCTGCTCGTCTTCGTATGCACCACATTCGTCTCTGCAGTTCCCAGTACTGACCACCACCCAGGCCTCCGTCTCAGCACCAAAATGGGACGCCATCCGCTTTTTGTCCACAACTATTGACGGAGCGACGACTCAGTTTGGTGTGTTCGGCTACACCGGGTCGAGCGCGCATGTCGGATGGTACTTCCCGTCGGGCGTCGCTGACGGCACGCTGAACGACGGCCTCTTCCACAACCTCACCATTGCTCTCATCCTCATCCCAATCGGTACGTCCTGTCCTCACCGCGACCCACCCTCGCTCGGCTGACCGCCTCCCTTACTCCGCATAGCCGCCGGTCTGTCAGGCATCGCGTTCCTCTTCGGCCTCTGCGGCGCAGGCTACCACCGCGTCGGCACCGTCTTCATGACGCTCGTCTCCGCGCTCGCCTTCCTCATCACCCTCGTCGCCTGGGTCATCGAGATGGCCCTCTTCGGCATCGCGCGCGACCACGTCCGCGACCGCGGCGGCGTCGCCACCTACCAGAACGCCAACTGGCTCGTCCTCGGCGCGCTCGTTGCACTCTTCCTCGCGTTCTTCGCAAGCCTCTGTGGCGTCTTCGGCCGCTATCGTTCCCGCCGCGCTGCATATTAAGCGCGCGTCAGCCTGAGTGGAGGTCTGTTTGAAGTGCGTGTGTGCTGTAGAGGATTCGAGTGCTGTCATGTTTGTTCTTCGATGCTTGTTGCCCGGCACGGACACTTCCATTCCCCGTATTCCCATCCCCCGTCTGTATCGTGAAAGCGCCGGTAGGTTACTCAGACCACGCCATGCTGGTTCCCGACCTTGTATATCGTGTTAATGACCACTCTTGATCCCCCAACCTTGCAACCCTCTTCCTGCATCTGCTACCTTAAAGATGTTGCTGTATCCTACTTCGCACTCGCTCTATGTAGTCCTTACCATCCACGCCGTACCGTACCAACGTCTCTAATCAATCTGTAAAGCTATCGGCGTCTCGTGTACTCCATATTCGCGTGTGTTCATGTGTTCATGTGTCTGCGACTCTGAGACTGGCTTGTAACAGAACATGTGGGTCAGCTTAGTACGCAGTATCTCTACTGCACAACTCATGTAACGATGTACAGCATCAGCTGCGGCGCGTCTATACTTTACAAGCATCATTGTGAGAGCATTATCTGCTGCGCAACATAATACAGCGGTCCCAGCGGGTAGGTGGGATGTTCTGTGAACAAACTCGCATGCATCGCGGTGGATCTGCTGATAGTGGTGAGCGGGTAACCCCTGCCAGACTCGGAGGGCTCTCCTCAACTCGCCCAGTTTCGTGGCGACGTTTTTGCAGTGGCGAAATGCGAATGTCCTGGTTGCAAACAAAACACAAAAAAAGAGCAAGAGACAATAAGAACACATGTACAATACTAATAAGTTAGAAAGCCACGGGGTGGCCACCGGCCTTCCCGACCCGACGCTCACCCGCGCCACGTAGCGAAGCCGAACATCTTCTTCACGTTCACCGAGAGCAGCAGCGTGCCGACGACGAACTCGGGCGCGACGTGCAGCGTGTAGAACACCGTCTTCGCCGCGGGGCTGTTGAGCGAGCCGGGTGCCATCGAGAGCAGGGAGTCGGTGTAGTTCGCCATCGCGGCGAGGCGGTAGAGCGCGGGTATTGACTGAGTCGCGCGGAGCCCGTCAGCTTAATTCTGTCAGAGCAGGGTAGGACTCACAAGAAGAAGACATAAAGCCATCAAGAAGAGCGCGGGCCAGCGGGCGACGCGTTTCGGGCGCGTGAACAGCGCCCAGATGAGCACGGCCTTGACGAGCTGCAGGTACACCACCACGATGATGTCCGACGCATATCTACAGCCCAGCGCGCGCAGTCAGCGTCGCGTCGCACGTCCCCGCGGCGAACCCCAGAGAGACGCACCTCATCCGCTGCGCCGTCACGGCCTTGGCGTGGTCCGTTATCCCGTCAAAGTACAACCCGCTGTACACGCCCCCCAACGTCAAGGCCGTAAGCCGCATGACCAGCGAGACCACGCCGTAGCGCTCGATCCACGCCCTGCGCTCCGGCTCGTCCATGAAGACCTCCCGCACGCCCGCCCCGTCATACTGGGCGAACGTCGCGGCGCGATCGTCCGGCTTGGGGAACGCCGCGCGCTCCTCGTCGGACGAGACGAGCAGGTTGAGCGGGGGCTCCGCGGCGCGCGTGGACTTGAGCAGGAACGCGCGCGCGATGTTGCCGACGTCGCCCGCGAGGCCGATGAAGCCCATCGCGTACGCGCTCTGGAGCCAGCCGACCCAGAACTTCGTCGTGCGCATACTGGGCGTCTCCGCCTCCGCCGCGCGGAAGGAGAAGTCGACGACGCTGCGGGCGCAGGGTCAGCCTGAGTGGGCGCGCGGCGGGGGCGGGGGCGGGGGGACGTACCGCTCGGCGGCGAAGATCACGCTGGCGATGATGAAGAGGTTGCGGGAGTTCTTGGACGCGAGCCGGTAGACGGCGAGCGGGATCGTTAAGGCATAAAGTACGGCGAAGACCACTGAAGGGGCGAGGTCGTGCGGGTTGGGCACGCCGCCGATGGGAGAAGGAAACTTCGTGGGTTGAAAAGACATCTGACCGAGAGAAAGAGAAAGAGAAAAGGAGGCCTCGGTGGATGTTGCGTCCGTGCTGGAGACATGCTTTTGTACATGAGCACGGCGGCAGCATAGCCTTGTCGGCTCCGGCGTGCATATATTGCTGCAACAGGGCTACGGATATGGTTCTTGACAGTCAGGCCATCGGCTATCCTCAGCTGTCAAGGAGGCTGGAGCGACGCTGCGGAGGGCCCAATGAGGTTTCGAGGGCACAGCGGCATCGTGGCGGCTATGCGCTGCGGATCCAGATCTGCTGTCAATCCGGAGTCGAGTGACAGCTGCACAGCATGTCGCGCTCGCAACCAGTCTGGCAGTCATGAGTTGTGACGCATCAACATCATCAACACACTTATTGAATTGCGATCTTCTCTCGGGAAGCTCACACATACGCACCGGTTGCTGAGGATAATCAGGAACGCCGCCCCAGGCTGACACGAAGAATTACACTTGAAGCGGAAGCTCTCGCAGCTGTAGAAGACGCAGACAATCACTGTGTGTTGTCCTCATATACGTTCTCAGTCGTCACCTGGATGCCATAGCTGCGCGCAAGAGTCTCGTGCTTGGCAATGATCGGTAGGGGCAACAGAGGGAATTGCTAGACGCCCACTGCGGATCTCGGCGTTGAATAGAATGGCTGAGAAAGGCAAGAGTCTTCATATATATGCGACCGTGGTGTCTACCTATGTTGATGACGAGCTGCGATCTCGTGTATCGGGCAGACTGCGGACCCTGAGACTGGGGGAGCCATGGTTTGACGAAGAAGATCCACGGGTGGCCGAACTGGTCCCAGTCAGGGAGATGCTCGTCCGTCAGCTCCATTCGACGACGGCGACGACAGATCTCTCTGAACCCTTCCTTCCTCAAGATGCTTGGTCCAGATACTCTCGAGACGCTAGAGCTAGACATCGGCAGTCCTGGCTGGTTATCGAGTATGTCGGCTTCCTCTGATCACGGGCGAGCCGCGACACTCACGACAGGTTCATGTACGTTAGGGATCCTCGGGCGGGAGCCATTCTCCTTCGCGCCTTACACCCGCCTGCGCACTTGTGCGTTCTAAATTTTGCTCCGGGGCACGCAGTCGCTCGACAACGACGATATCCGCGGTGTCACAAGACTTCGTTCCACACTCACTTCACCTCACCTGAGGACGGTGAAGCTGTCGGTGTTCATGAAAGACGCAAATATCGACAGCATCGCTCGCAGAGTGCGTTTCGACGAGCTGCAGACACTGAACTGGGCTGGCATCAGCGATATGTTCATGCAGGCCAAGCTACCTGCATCGTGTAAACTGGTTCTGGAGGGCGAAGGCGAGCCGGCGGTCCTCGAGGACTACATCCGCAGCGTACGGCCTGAACTACATGCACGCCGGGCCATACAAACGGTATCGTATGCATCACATTGATGTCACGATCTCGTCGTCGCAGTCAACCTTTTATATTGTGCCGTCTTCGCAAGCTGAGAGGAAGACAAATGGCCCAAACCTCGAATCCGCGCATCTCTACGCAATGCGCAATGTTCATCTTCGGAGTAGGATGTACCATTGCAATGTAAGTTTTTTTACTTAGTACCGTAGGAGTAGGCGCCGCGACACATTGTAGTGATCAAACCTACTGAAGGTCCCAGTCTATCAAAAGCTCGCGGCCATTCAGTTCGGGAAACTTGTTATCGAGGAATGCTTGCCACGGCAACTCGCTGCCTTTACCGTTGGCAATGAACTTCGACACCCCTGCGAACTTCGGCTCGGAGAGTCGCGCCTCTATACTCCTCCAATCCAGAGCGCGCAGCTGTACCCACTGTACAGAGCGGCGAGGTTTGTCGTGTGAGGTCGACACGTGAAAGAACAGTGTAATTGTCGTCAATGAAGAGGTAACGAGCTGCGCGAGCAGTTCGCAGACCTTAAACAGATGAGGATTTCCGGGCCGGCACTGCGAGTCGATGACGCAGCGCAGCGTGAAGGTCTGCAGCTTTGAGCATACGGCCAAGGAAATTTGTGGGTCCCGGTGCCATCCTGCTGGTCCGTCAGAGAGGTGCAGATGAAGTGACTACGAGAGTGCGTACTCGTTAATGCTAGCCAATTGACCGCCATATCAAGGTGCCGCAGACCCGCGGGACCGTAAGCGCAAAGCATGTTGTTGCACACCAGAGTGGGCATGCTACTCAAGACGACTCTAAGGGTATGGATGTCGTGCGACAAATCCAGGGTATGTAGTGTTGATGGGGATGACGGGAAGCCACTTCGAGGCCAAATGAGGTTATCCTGGATCGCCAGCGTATTGATAGAGGGGAAGAATGACAATATGGATCTAAGGTGGCGAAATTGTAAGACTTGACAATTGCGTACGCGTAGTCGTTTGAGCGACGGGAGGTCCAGGGTACGCAGTGAATCGATGGCCTCTGTGGTCAATCCGAGTCCGGTAATTCTGAGCTCGACCACGTTTTGTAGCCTCGGGAGGGAAAACAGCTCGCGAAGGGGCATGCTGTGGTCTTGGACGAGCTCAAGGATTCGGATCAATAGGTTCAGGTGTCCTGAGGTAGCGAGTAGATTGCGTAGTCGCGCAGCTCCCCGAGCATCAGCGTCGATTCGAACTGCACGAAAGCGATGGACACTGGACGAGGGGACCAATGCCCGGCAGATCAGCGCACAGGCCCCGAGGGTCGCTGCATCGCCATACAGATGGTCGATGATATATTCGATGATTTCGAGAGGTAAGCGTGCCATGACAGTGTCGACCTTGCGAATGATGCGGGTACCGTCGAAGACATGGGCTATGCCAGACCCCGAGTCGGATGCGAAGAGTCTGAGGAAGGTAGACAAACGAGCGCAGCGGCGGCAGGGACTCGAGCGCGGTTGCCACTGACTGTATGTAAGTAGCTTATTTTACGCCCACGCCGCGACGGCACGGGCCGCATGTCACGCTATGTGGCGCAAGTCACAAGTTCATGACATGCGTAATGGCGATGAATTTGTATCATAGTACGGTCACCACCACTGGCAGCGCGAGTACAACCTCTCATAAGATGTCACTGCAGGCAATCAAACTACTTATGCAATGAGTGCTTCAACAAATACTCAACGACTCTATAGTCATACAGCGTCAAACGTGTACGTGCGTTCGACACATTGAGATCCTTGTCTCAGTCTGTGCATCAATCACTGGCACCTCAGCTGTACAACGATGCAGAGCATTCAAATATCCATACTCGCGTACAATCACCCCAGCACCGAGCCAAGACCGAACGGATTCCGAGGCAACCTCATGGCAGCCTAGTCCAAACCCTCAGCAGAGCCTCTCAATTCTTCAGACCTTCAGTGCGCACCCGCGGTGATACTGTATCGTATTGCACTTCGCCGAGTGCAACCCGAACTGCATCTCTCCGACGAGTTTGAGCATACGTCGCGTGAACTTGAACTGACTGTCGATGTGAAGACTCTCCCGGAGAACTCGGGCGAAAGTCAGTGCATAAATAGGCTGCATCGCTGGTGGGACTGCCCAACCAAGTCTCGAACGCAGGCCTCGTACCATGTACACCAAGCACCTCATGTTCCTTGCTCCTCTGCTTCTGGCCTTCGTCACCGACGCGGCATCTGTTCCCACCACCCAAAACTGTTGGGAACCGGGTAGTTATGACGGGTGCCCTCGATCAGGTGAGCATGGCTGCGTGTTAGTGACGATGATAGGCACTTACATGACGTTTAGTGAATGTCGAAGCCGACGAGTACACCGCCAGAGATGTTCAAGTCGTCGGTGTGCAAGGTTGACCATAAGCTCATTCCCCGGCAGCCGGTGGTCAATGATCCTGGGTGGGTGGGTCCCATGACAACTCTTGCATGTCAAGCGTCTGAAGACCGCTGCTATCAGTTCCTGACAGTCGTGGACTTGACTACTAGTAGTTTGCTGCTGTACTGGTAGTCTCAGTGTAAGCACTTTGATGTGCAGCTGCAGCCTGGTCGTGCGAATTATTAGGACCTCGGAAATCGTTGTGCTTGAACACAGTGCTGCTGCTGCTTTCCCGGCCCTAAAAGGAATGAGACGACATCGACAACTCGAAGGACGCATATACTCACCAGCATGCAGCTTAGCCAGGTCTCAGCTTGCGCAAATGACATGCTGGACTTGGCATACTACCTATGGGCCTTAGTACGAGACGTACCTATGCCAGCATGTCATCAAACGGCCCGGATTAACGACAGTCTCGTTCGAATTCAAACGGTCCCGCCTCGACAATTAAAGTGACGCAGCCGAAGAAAATTAATTCAGAGGATGAATGCCTCTTCCAGATCCAGGGTGCTTTCCGGCAGAAAAGCTATCATCGAGGAGGGCCATATCCAGAGACTCGGGCTCTTCCAGGTACAGGCAACCTGCAAGAGCGCTTGAGCGCCTGACCTGTGCCTTTGAGGAGGTTTCCATATTAGGCGAGAAGCACTCACGCGCCACTTGTGGCTGAGGAACGTCCCGGGTCGGGATCAACTTGGACGGCCATGATCTTTCGCAACCATCTTCTCACTGCGGGTTCCGCTGACGGCGACCGCATCGATGTTGGACGGTACGGTAGGGTGATCGCGGCTCGGCTCGAGCCAGCTCTGCTTATGCCAGACGTGCAAGGGACAGAACATGGTGGCGATCTGTTGAACCGTGCCGCTGGGCGATCGGCCGGTCTGACATGCCGCCAGCTAGCCCGTCTCGCCTTTCTACTCCTGTTCGTAGGTGAGTCTGCTCGAAAGGTGCAATATAGCCACGTTACAGGTTCATCACCGACGGCCGCAGCAGCCGACGCGCCTGACGTGCACCCGTCGGGCGCGTCTTGAAGGGACGGACGTCCTTATGCATGCAAGACAGTGTGACGGCGGTAGCGCTGCTATCATGCCCGATCTGGCCTTCGATCGACGCAGTGGGGCAGAGTGACCACACCCGGATCCTTGGGCATGTTCGACTCGGGTCCTGGTGCCCTCCTTCTGCCCATCCTACATCTTCTCTCCCCATGCCCCTATTGCACGAGGCACGCCACTCTGCGTCCCCCATGGGTACCCTCCAGGCGAGCCGTCTAGCCCCTAATGATTTGCGCCATCTGGGCAGTCCTCTCGCCTCGCGGCCGTCGGAAGCCTTGCGCCCGCTGACCACTCGTCCACCCGCGACGCCGCCTCAGCAGGGGAACCGGGCCCACAGTCTCTACTCTTGCGGTTCTCTGTCTTACGAGGGTGTTCGCTTCTCCACACCCGTCCGCTCGCGTACCATCACATCGTCGTCGCCCTCGTCAGGCGGCAGTCCCGCTCGTCTGCCCATCGGATCACCCACCCGCTCATCGGAGCGCCGGAGCCACCTCAGAGCGCGACCCAGCGTACCGACTGGGCTCGGGCTCGTTGACCTGGAGAAGCTCGCGTCGGCACCGTCACCTCAGGCGGACATGTCACGCGAGGAGCGCGCACAGCGGCGGCGCGCGGTCCACTTTCATTCGCACGCGCAGTTCTCGGAGGTCTTGCGTCGTACGCTCACCCAACCAGAAGATATGTCCCCGGATGGCAAGGAAAAGTCGCCGGAGCAGAGACGTGAGGTCGAGGTATCGTCGCCCGAGCAGCGACAGATGCTCGGGGATGATTATGATGACTTCCTGGACGACGAGGACTTCTCCTGGGAGGCGACGAGTTCTTCACCTGGGAACACTCCCGGGCTCTGTAGTTCCTCCATGCATGAGCTTGCCGCTGCCTTTCCTTCACCTCCGAAGACCGCGCCCGAGTTCCCGCTCTCGTTGTCCGCCCTCGAACGTGACGCGCCACCCGACCTACCGCTGCCTCCTACCCCGCCCTTCCTCAGGACCGCGCGGAGTCCACACGTCTATGCGAATGGAGGCCTTGGGGACAATCTGATGACGACATTCGATCCCGAGGAAAGTATGGCGCGGCTGGAGTTGAGTATGGCAAAGTTGGAAGGCTTTGGGCCTACACCAGACGCGCCCAGGTACGCCTACTTCTTTGACGATGACGAGGAGGACATGGAGGACATGGAGGACAGCGAGGGGAGTGGGCGCGACCTCGTTCAAGAAGTGCTGTTAAAGGGACTCATTCCCGAGGACGTCTCTCCGCCGCCCACTAATTCCGACACGACAGACGCCACTTCACCATTGTCAGATGTGCATTCCCCAATCACTGATGTAGCAGATCTCAGCTTTCCAGAGGTCGACAGCGATGCAGAAGCCCGCCTGGAGCGACTGCTTCGGTGCCTGAGCCCGGCGAATGATGAGCGCGTCGATTTCCCTGGCTCCAGCCCTAGCATCGCCTCATCCATGACGGCTTCCAGTCCTCGCACGCCCTCCGCGTCCTCGCCTCTCGCTCCGCCGTCGATTGAGCTCTTGCCAGAGTTCGACTTCGAGAAGACGCGGCGGGTTCACCACAGTCACGGGAAGGGTCATAGGCGGCGGTCAAGCTCGTTGTCTAACCCGTTAACATCGGGTTGGCAATCCTTCGCAAGTCCACTCATGGGTGGGGGTCCGAAGCCCCAGTCAACCAGCCCGAACAACCTGCGAACGTCCTCCAGCACCGCGGCGTCATCCGCATCCGCGTACTCCAATGTGACCACCTCCGCCTCCTCTGCTTCTGGGTCCGCCTCGGGGCACGCTCGCACTCCCTCGGCTGAGTATCGCTCCCGGGTATCCAAACCCATCCTTCACTAGAGCCAGAGCGTCCGGAATCACCTCTGCGGAAAGCGCGCAGCACACCGTTCATCCGTCGTCCTGTCCGCTACGAGCCCGCGCAGCCCATCCTGCGGCAGCACCGATCCATCGCGCCTCCCCTACCGCCTCTTCCTCCCCTGCCGCCTTCACCACCCGTCCCACCGACGACAAGGCAGGCACCCTTGCCCGGTTCACTTAGCCTCGCGCGCTGTGCGACGCACAGTGCGAGTACGCCCCGCGAGGCGGAGCGCGCGCGCCTGTCGGCCCTGCAAGCCCCTCCGCACGGCGCCTCAGGCTCTGCAGATGGCCACGTCGGGCTCTCGTCTTCAGCGTCGTGGCGCCGTGTGCACAACCCGATCGGCACTCCCCCAGCGGCCTCCCCATCTTCTTCCCGCATAAGCGGGTCGTCGAGCCCGCGTACACCGCCGAACGGCGGCGGGAAAGGACACTCGAGTTTCATGCATATCACGCCGGAGCAGCCTCACTCGCGGATGAGCAGGTTGTGGAGCAGGGCTCGGGCGGGCCTTAGTAAGGGGCCTGAGCAGGGGAAGACGGACGGCATGGGCAAGGGTGAATTTAAGGGCGCTGAAGGGGGAAGGGGCCTGAGAAAGGAGAAGAGCACGAGGTGGTTGAGGGGAGCGTCGTGCAGGCGCGGGGTGAGTGAGCTCCGTGGTTGGCGGGTACACCTGAGTCGAACATGGGCAGTGGCGGACGCGTGCGTGTGTATCACGGAAGCTTGAGAAACCTACCATCTTCTGTTGTTTTGTATTTTATACTGCCTGTGTCCATACTGTTTGTATAGCATAGCGATAATGTATACACATAGCAAGCTGTATACCGTTCGTACTCGATATTAGTGATGTGTAGTTGGCCTTAGTTGTAGTAGCAGTAGTGTATACTTGTTAATGGAGGTGTCCTCAGGCATGCAGTTGACATATGCATATACGTCAGGAGAATGACAACAGCTTGCATGCGCTCTATACACCTCTCTCTGAATTTCCAAGTGCATGTACTGACTCCTGTGGCGATCATGATGCCCAAGTTCAAGTTGAAGTGGTAGAAGCAATGTCATCGTGTCTACACACTAATAGATGATCAGATGCCCGACACAATCTTATGTCACTAGTAGACGATGTTGAAATCGAGACGTCCTAGAGAGTAT